CTTATGATTTGTTTAAAAAATAAAACATATTACACATAAATGAATAAATCAGTATAAAATTATTTAATTTATAAGTGTCATGTTTGCGATTTTTTTTCTTGTAAGCTATAGCTTCTGACCTTTAAATCAAAACATACTCATGATTTTATGGCATCAATTACTGCTTTATTTAATCAGAAACACAGTCTAAATATTATTTGTGTATTTTGCTTTCATTTTATTAGAAGTAGGCCAACAGCGCCCCCTACGGAATTAAAACTCCTTACTAAGCGGGCTTTAGGACCCGGGGGAGGCTGCCGCTGCAGTGCTATTACGGTTTACTCTATCACACACCCAATGCATCATTCTGTACCTGCTTTCTCAGTTTAAATGCAGCAATCCAAAACAGTGAATCTAATCACTATTCAGGCAAAACTTTGCTTCAAGAATGAGCCACACTGCTGACGTGATCTAATGGCTAGCACACCCTGAGCACATGTGAGTTAATGTATTCCTCTTATCGGCAAGACATATCGGTATACTTTTTCATATCGATATTCCGATATTGGTCCGATAATATCGTGCATCTCCATTATATATAATATATTTTAGTTTTGTGCAGTTCAAAAAAAGTTAAAAATTAGATTAAAAAAAATACGTTTTTAATAATATTTTTATTTGAAAAAAAAAAAATGAATTGCAAAATTAAAAATTCACAAGTGAAAAAAAGTATAAATTAAAAAAAGCCTATTTAACTTTGATGAGGGTGGTTTATGGATATGTTAGAGAAAATGCAAATTGGGAGCAAAATAAGAATTAACAGCCATTTTAAAAATTATTATAATAATTATTATTTTATATATTATAATACATAACTTTGTGCAGTGTAATAAATATTAAGTTTAAAATAAGTTAAATAAAAAAATATTTTTGCATTGCTCATTATCAGTTAATGTTAATGCAACAACACATGATTTAATAGGACCTTACTGTAAAATGTTACAATATAGATTTTCTACTGAACAATTCTAATAGAATATAATCCACTTTTTCTGTCTGTATGTTAGACTGATTTGAAATCTGGGCAAAAAAAAATAATAAATAAAAATTCACAAAACATTTTCATCTTACCACTAAGAGTTCTCCTAAATAAAAGTAAAAGTTTTTAGCTAAGAGTTTTCTCTTAAAACCTATTTACAAAGCTGCTGAGACAAACTTGTACTAAGGAATAGAGAGAAGTCTTAAAGGGATAGTTCGTTGCTATGTTTCTGGACTTGGGAACAATACAGTTGTATTGCGGTCTATGCAGGGTCAGACACAGAGATTTATTCATAGAAATATTGTAGAGCACGATTTTAAGTTGCCATATTCAAATAAAGGTTTAAAAATAAAAATGTTAATTGCAACATTCAAATAAAGATTTTAAAATGCAGGCTAAGAGTCACTAATTAAACAAGTATATGTTCAGCTAACTGTCAGCCTCTTACATGTGTGCTTCTCATAAACAATTAGTGAATATGCATATAAACAGCCTTTTAATTAACAGAGTGGAATAATCATGGCTGATAGGAAGACATGCAAACTTAAAAGAACACCAAACTGGACGCAATCCTCTTCACTGCTCCTAACCTTTCACAGATTTAGGAGCTAGTTTTAGTGCTAAAACGCTTTGTGAAACACTCTTAGGTCTGGTTTCACAGACAGGGCTTAGACTAAGCCAGAATTAAGCAATAGTTCAATTAGGACATTTAAGTAATTTTTATAAACGTGCTTAGGAAAAAAATATTACTGGTGTGCATCTTGAGACAAAACAAAGGCACTGATATATTTTAAGATCAGTCCGTGCAAATGTCTTTCAGTTGAAACAGCTCAGATTTACATTTTAGTCTGGGACTAGGCTTAAGCCTTGTCTGTGAAACCGGGGGTTAGAGTCCTAAATTTAGGATTGACACACCCATTAAAAGCTAAGATTTTCTCCTAAATCGGCGAGTTATGAGCTGCTTTTAGCTTTAAGATGTTTTGTGAATACGGGCCCAGTTCAGTATGTGTTTGTTCTCACTCTCTGGGGCTTCCTGATCTGTGCGCGCGGCGTTCGTATGAAGGACTGCGAGATCTGCTTCTGCCGTAACTGCGGCTGCGTGAGCGTCTGCGCCGGCCGTCGCGCTCGTAGTCATCATACCGCGAGTCGCTGCGAGGAGAGTGCTTCTCTTTGGATTTCATCTGACCGGGAGCTGCACGTGACAACACAAACGACAAAGACAAATGCATGCAATTTAGCCAGATTTCATTCTTTTTTTTTTTTATAATATTAAAAAATATATTTAAAAATAAATATTTAAATGCATTTATACTAGAGAATTCACATTTTTGCAGTTCAAAAACTTTATATTAATTTTTGGCATGCAGAAAACCAGCGTCATACTCTTCCTGTCTCCTTGAGCGAACTGAATCTCGATCTGCCGTCCACAGATCCACTTCCTGTCCAGGTTATGCAGCGCATCCTCCGCGTCACGAACGTCCTCGAACATGCTGATGCGGTTAAGGCTTTGCATTTTTACCAGTCTGACACACAGCGATGAACACTCATATGACAGAAACTGAACTCACCATCTCAATATTCACCAAAAACATTATAGGTCATAAAGCAAAACACAAATAATCATCTGAATTAATTGTGATAAACGGCAACAGGGGGAAGGTGTTTGATGAAATTACTCTCAAATCATGAAAGAAACTCACAAAATTTCCTAAGTGTATTTTTAAGGGTGTTTCTTCAACTTCAGACACTTTTGTGTGAACAAATAAAGAAAAAAATGAAATGAATATTTTAATGTTGTCATTTCCAATCCAATGATGCAAAAAAGATGTGAAAATATTATTTGTATTAATTAATTTTATTTGTTTTGTGTATGTTTTATAGAAATATGGAACATAAGAGCTTAATAAACAAATTATAACAAATAATTTAAAAGATATTTTATAAAATATTAAAAAATAATGTATAAAATATTAATAAACACTAGAAGCACTAAAATAAAAAATAACAAATTAATACTAAAATAAATAAAATTTAAATAAATTTAAAATAATAATAAAAATGACAGAACCACAAAATTTCTTAAATTAATAAAAAATATTAAAACACTAACTATAAGCCAAAATTGACATTAAACATTAAACCATTTTTTAATAAAAAATAAATATTTTTAAAATAATATTTAAATAATAATGACAAAAGCACTTTTGTTAATTACTAAAATACTAAAACTGAAAATATAAAAATAAAAGCTTAAATTAAATAATTATTTACTAATTAATATAAGTGTATTTAAGGGTGTTTCTTCAACCTCAGGCACTTTTGTGTGAACGAATTTAGAAAAAAATTTAAAGAATATTTTAATGTTGTAATTTTCAATCCAATGATGCAAAAAAGATGTGAAAATATTATTGGTGTATTAATTAATTTTATTCATTAATATTATTATTATAACCTTAAATTATAACAAATAATTTAAGATATTTTATAAAATATAAAAAATTATGTATAAAATGTTAATAAACACTAGAAGCACTAAAATAAAAAAATAACAAATTAATACTAAAATAAATACAATTAAAATAATAATAGAAATGTCAGAACCCCAACATTTCTTAAATTAATAAAAATATCGAAACACTAACTAGAAATAAATAAAAGCCAAAATTGACATTAAACATTAAACAATTTTTGATAGAAATAAATATATTTAAAATAATATTTAAATAATAATGACAAAAGCACAACTAAATTACTAAAATACTAAAACTGAAAGTATAAAAATAAAAGCTTAAACAAATTAAAGAATTATTTACTAATTGATCAAATATTAATACTAGAAGCACTGAACTTAATAAAATAAATTTATACTAAATTAAATAACTAAAATAAAAAATAAAAATGACAAAATTACTAAAAACAAATACAAAAATATTAATAAACACTAAAACTACTAACTAAAAATATATAAAAGCTAAAATGGAAAAAAAAAAATTAACAAATATTATTTTTATTAGGGCTGCAAAACGATAAATCACATTCAAAATAAAAGTTTGTTTACATACTATATGTGTGTGCTGTGCATATTTACTATGTATATATAAATACACACATGTATATATTTAAAAAAAAAATATGTGTATGCATATATATATTTTATATATAAATCGAACATATTTTCCTTAATATATACAAGTATGTGTGTGTATTTATATATACATAAATATACACAGTACACACATATATAGTATGTAAACAAACTTATTTTGAATGCGATTAATCATTTTGCAGCCCTAATTTTAAAAATATATATATTATATTAAATAAATATTTAAAAAAAATAATAATAAAAATGAACATAGCACAACTAAATTACAAAAACAAAAAATATATAAATAAAAGCTTAATAAACAAATTGTTTAATAATTTATAAAATATTAATAAACACTAAAATTACTAACTGGACATAAATAAAAACTACATTGAAATAAAAATTAAGTAAAGCTAAATATTAATAGTAAAAACAAGTTCCTGTAGTTAAAGAAAAACCCATAAACGTTGACGTGGACAGGAGCGAATCAAAGGGACAGAAATGATGGATTGTAAAACTGCCTTTGATTACGTTCAGAAATCATGTGCTCTGTAATGGTAGGATACAGCATTAAAACAGGTTACCTTTAACATGCTTGACCTTTGACCTTCAGCTTGACCTTTATTGTCTTTAACCGCCTCCGAGAAGGACTTGGGGATGTCTGTGCCCAATAACCTTTAGTCTTTTCCTCTTTCTTTGGTCAGAACGAGGCCTTGACTCCAATTTTGGTCCCCTTTGAATCTTCAAGCTTTAACTCTCTCTTTATTGTCTTTGTCTTGAATCTACTCTACATCGGCCCTTTTAAATACTCTTTGTAGGGAAGGTCTCCAGAACTGTATGTCTTTACATTTTCTGAGACAACAGAGGAAATATAAGGTTAGGAGACAAACATCGGACATGTCCACGGCCAATCAAGCTTTAAAGAGACTTTACACCCAAAAAAAAAATCACAACCGTTTTTGTCCGATTACAATGGAAGTGAATGGGGACTGGAGCTGAGGAGCTCTAAAAAAAGATTAAAGCACCATAAAAATAATATGTGACTTGTGCGCCATATTCCACGTCTTCTGAAGGATAAATATGGGAATAAAGCGAATAAGTCACATGGGGGAACTACCTACAGCTCCAGTCCCCATTCACGTCCATTATCTGGAAAAGAGCAGCTTGGACATTCGGCTCAATATCTCTTTTTGGCTTCAACAAAAGGAAAAGTCAGATTTTTTTGGATGAAACATCCCTTTAAAAGTTCACAATATGTTCTTTCTTGTACACATTTGCCTACAAAGGATATTGTACGTATGCAAATCCTCTTGGTCGCCGTGAATAGAAGTCAACAGGAACGTAGACATCTACTATAGGTCCGTAACGACCAAACTCACGACGCAAATCCTCTGGCCTAAAGTACCATGAAATCACAGGACATTCATTTGTCTCTCTGAGAGCTTTTCCCAGGAGTGCTTGGAGGAAAGTCACGTGATGGAAGCTCTCAAGCCACAAGGCAGTGTGGAAAAAATCATGCTTGCTTCCCAAATTCATGAAGAATTAAACTACCCATAATCCCGAAGAGACTCACCAATCCTTCTGATTTAGACAACACTCATAATTCTCATTTAGTTTAAGTTGAAGCATTAAAATTAGTAACTGGAAATAAATAAAACCCAACATTGAAATAAAAATAAATAAATGAAACTTAAATAGTAATATTTTAAAATAATAATAAAAATCCACACAAAATTACTAAAAAATAAAATAAGTGAAAACAAAAATAAAACATGAATAAACATATTATAAAAAACTAAAATTATAATACATGAAGAAACACTAGAAGCAATATAATGTATATATTGTATATAACTAACTGGAAATGATTGAAACCAAAGCTGAAATTAAAACAAAAGCATAAAAATAAATAAAACAAAAATATTAATATTTAAATAAATACTCATGACAAACGCATAATAAACACACTAAAAAAATAACTAAAAATAAAAGCTTAATAAACAAGTGATAAAAAATAAATGATAAAATATCAATAAACACTAGAAGCACTAAAATTACTAACTGGAAATAAATAAAAATAAATTTTAAATTTTAAATGTGAAAAAAAAGTCCATAAATAAATAAAATAAAATCCAAAAATTACATTTCTAAATTAATACAAAAGAATTAAATACATTCCCAAAATAAATTAAACCTAAATATAATTTTATTATAAATTAAATGGTAATATTTTATCATACATATTTTTTTAAAGAACAACAAATAAAAAAAACACTAAAAATTACTAAAAAAGAATTAATAAACAAGTTATAAAATGTATTTGATTATTAGGAAAAATGTATTTTCAATTGTAAAATATGTATATGTTTGTGTATATATATATATATATATATATTATGCTATTTACACTGTTTAATGGCGTGAACTAGAATGACAAGAAATCTTCTTGCAGTTATTGCAGTTATCACCGCCAGCTTTTTGCAGGTTAAAGATTTACAGTGCAAAACACTTGCAAAGGAGTGTCTTTGCCAGTAGATTTAAATACTGCAGAATATACTATATATATATATATATATATATATATATATATACTACAATAGTATATGATTTTTTCCCGTATGGAGAAAACGAACAGAAAAAAATCCAAACCAGTTTACTTTCGTCGAAACATAATTTCTGGTATATTTGCTTTACTGTATAAGTGGTAGATCTTATTAGAGATATGTTGGGAAGCATATACAGGCACAAAGTTTGAGCAGACATTATAAACAAACAAAAAAATAACCCACCAACTTTTACATGCAAGAAAATCTTCAGCAGTTTCGACAAGAATCGATCAGTTGAAGCATTTCAGGCTAATACTGGGTGAAAGATACAGTAATCTGTGAAGATATTTAGACTGAAATCTGAGTCTGGAATGTCTCTCATTATGTATGCAGTGTTCCTCATTAATATTCATGCAGCTAATACCAGCCACAATAGGAAGAAACCCAATCCTGCTGCAAATATTAGATTAAAAACATTCTACATGAGATAAACATGTATTTATTTACCATTTAATCCATCTTAACTCTAGTAACTAGTAGGAAGTATGTTACCCTAATGCAAAATAGATTAAACCCGCTCACCAGTACGCTGGTTTATGAATTTAGCTTTAGATAAGCGTCGAACCGTGATGTATATTAATGCACACGACAGATTTCTGACGGTTAGTCAGATTTTAGCGACGCAGACGCGGCCGACGCAGACCGATGCACTAACTAGTACTCACTAAGCGCACTAACCTGCTGTCATCGGAGATGTTTCTGATGAACAGAGACGTGTTTGGAGGTCGCATGTATCTCGCCATGATAAAAAAACAGCAACCTTTAGCTCCTCAAACGCACAGAGAGACACGCAGCTCGAGCAGGCCGCAGTCCTGATCAACGTCCTCACGTACACAGCGCGCGGGTCACGCACTGACGTCACGCGCATGCGCGCCATGACGTCACCGCCGAGCCGAGACAAAGATTTTTGTTTGAATAATTGTTTTTACTTTTTTATTTGATATAGGCCTATATTTATTGCAGAATATAAAAATGACATATTTTGATATTTTATAAAAATGATTAAAAAACAAAAATGTGTGTTTACATCTTTTTTTTTTTTTTAACAGTCTATGGTTTACATACGCACGTAATGTTGTTTAATATGGTGTTTAAAAAAAGTTAAATATTGACGGAAATACGCCTTTAAAGTACTGAATGCAGAAGTTCAATAATATCTAAAAACATTACGGAGTCTGAAAAATAAAAAAAGCTGTAGAATGCGTTAATATCTGTTTAGCGTTTTTCCTATTTTGTTTTGGTTTATTTCTTTATATTTATATCTTTTGATTTTATTTATATTTTTCTGTTTATCTTAATGAATATCTTTATTAAAACAAATAAACATTTATTCATGGAGAGCAACATATAGGCTATGATCCATAAATCATCCGTTTTAAAATTCATGTTACTTATCTTAATATGAATGATGCATCACTGAAATCTCTTTTATATTTTTGAAATAATATGAAATTTCTCTTTTTATATTTTAATATTTAAAAAAAAAATTTTAACTTACAATTTGAAAACTTTTCATTCTACCAGAAAGGTTGGACTGATTTCTCATGACAAAAATATTTTACATGTTATGTGTGTTTTATATGTTAATTTCATATAATTTATTAATTACTGTACATGCTGGCCTAATGGTTTGGTATTTATGTATGTTACGGTTTACATTTCTGTTCATATTGAAGCAAATCTGATGGAAATGTTTGTTTGTTTATTTATAGTTTGTTTGAGCGAATAATGCAATGTACCAAATCACAACAAACACACACTAGTATGATAAATCAGAGCTTTATTTAAATAGCCAGTGGTGATCACACTCTTCACATCTTCTTGCTCCTCCTGATCATGCTGGTTCCTCCTACCGTCAGGGTCTGGAAAGAGAAAATGGCAAATGTTCATATTTCACAGATCTAGACAGTTGTGAGCTCTGATGAGCAACATGTGCAGATCATCATCAGTGCAAACCTCCACCATCTCTCCTGCCGTGATCTCCTGGATGTGAGAGAATCGATCCGTCTGACACACCAGCTTCCCTCCCTCCAGCTTGACAATGCACTGAAACACCAGAGAATATAAGCATCGTCCGGCAGAAAATATGATTCATAATATAAAGAGTTTGGTTCCAAAACGCTATAAATCCATTTTGATTAATTTGAGTAAAAATGTGTTTTCTTTACCAAGAAAGTGGCAAGATGAAAACCACTATTTTCTGTTTCAAACTTTCACATAGCATCTTTAGGTTATAATAACATTAAAAATTCAAATCCAGATTTTGATTTTCAAAGATTTATTACAAAATTTTATTATTTTTTCCCCAAAATGCAATAAATCCATGACTCGTTTTTTTTTTTTTTTTCCCCAAAATGCAATAAATCCATTGAATCAATATAAAAGTTACTTTTCATATTGAAACTACACAACATAGTATAAGATGATCCACATATGACAGCCTCTGAACTTGGTCAATACTAATCTTATATACAGGCACTGGACTAAAAATACATTCAATCAGTCATCGCTCCCAAAATGAATTCAGCGGGTCATCTTGTTAATGCTATAAATTAATTACAACAATACGACTCTGTGTATTAAATGCCGCTCCATCTGAAAGCATGTGATGGAG